ATGTATAGGCACAAACATTCTTTAGTGATTCCTTAACTGGAGGGGAAGAGAGGGCAGTAGAATGGGATAGGAGAGTAATAGCTGACAAATACAGAATGTTCTTAAAAATCCTTCATTCCGTGACAACTTCATAAATGCATACAATGTGTCTTGATCATTTTTATACCCAACTCCCCCACCCCCATTTTGCATCCCCTCAACATTTCGCCCTGCCTCCACCTTCATGCCTTCACCTTTTTTTCTTTTTTGTAGCCCACTGAATTCAATTAGTGCCACCCGTTAGAATGTTGACTGATTTTGTCAACTTGGTTTTGCCCAGGTAACCATAACCACAGTGAGTTCTTGAGTGCAGCAGACATGACATGTGCAGATTCAGCATATCACCATGCCTCCTTATCATCATAGTCTTCCTATCTCATCTTCCTTACTGTTCTCAGAGTCCTCAGGGAGAGTTTTGAGGTCATGACATTTTTCTGAAATTGTCTGTAGTGTTGCTTGAATAATTAAAAATCACTGAATCGCACACTGTAGTAATAGGTGGTAAGTGAAGTCTAGTCAGGTCAGTTGCCAGTGAGCTGAGAGGCAATACAATGCAGCTGAGTTCATGGCAGTTCAGTTCATGGAATTCTGAGAGTTTTACAGAGACATTTTGAAGAGAGAATGAGCTAGACACAGGTAAAGACAGAATAAATCAGAGAATGAGAAAGAGCCAGAAGATTAGAACAGATTGCTAGAATTAGTTTTAGGGCCAAGGAGAGAAATTCAGTCAGAGGATCAGAGAAGCCAGTTTGAATTGGTCTGCTTGGAGAGGAGTTTGAGCCAGACAGCTGAGTTAACCCAGCCAGCCTAGATTAGATTGTACAGAGCTTCCAGGACTAGGCCTAGGTTAGCAGATGGAGGCAGTATGCCTCCAAGAAAACAATTACTCAGAATAAAAGACTACTTTAACAGTCAGGGATACACAGAGAAATTCTGTCTTGAAAAACAGACAGGAGCTGGAGAGATGGCTCTGTGGTTAAGAGCACTAACTGCTCTTCCAGCGGTCCTGAGAATGAGACCTGATGCCCTCTTCTGGTGTGCTGTGAAAACAGAGCATTCATATACATAAAAATGTTAAAAAAAAAAGAAAACAAACAGAGGAACAACAACAACAAAAAACAAAACAAAGAAAAAAAAAGAATCTCTTTATCCTCTCATATGGCCAACATGAGGAACAGCAAGCTGAAGGACATCTGAAATGCTCTCAAACAAAGCCAGATGTTCTTTGGCACAATCATGATCATGATGATGACTACAGGATTATGCTGAAGTCCTCTGACAAGTGCCACTAGGCCAGCAAGAAGTTGAGGATGGGGTAGGTGAATGAGTGGTTCAAAAAGTGCGTGGAAAAAGACTTTGCCTGAGATGGCAACAAAACAGTTTTTACTGTGAGACTGGATCCAAGGCCCCTGGAGCAGTTTTTCCCACCATGAAGTATAGCTGAGGCAGCAGGGCTCTCAGGAGGGGTGCAATGACCCTGCCATCTAACTAAAAGGTATGTAAGTAGAGTAATATGGACCCCAGAAAAGGCCCATATCCTGATGCTTTTTGGGTATGAGATCACTTAATTCAAAGTGAGCATCAAATAAACATAACATGCAGAGTCAGGAAGATTACAGCAAACAAATCAGGACCTGCTGCAAAGTGCACCTGTGTCTAAAGAAGAGTCTAAAGATGGTGACCAACTTTGGGATTCAGGAATGAGGCTTTCCCATTTATTCCGTGTCCTCACCAGAGCATTCAGACTGTTGTCACCCCTCTGTAGGGAGCAGTTATTTGTTTTGCTGAATGTATTTTTTTAAACAAAATCCCAAACATTAATTTTACCAATGAAGACTCAGGAGCCAGATGCTGGGGCAAAAAGCTGCTAGATTAGAGAGGCAGAGAAAGCACCCAGCTGACTTTCCTCCTCAGCTGATGTCCCAAGAGAAAGTGTTTCTCCATCCTGTTTCAAAAACCCTTCAAACTCAATGTCTTTCCTTTCTACTTCCTGTGTATCTCTCTAGCCATCCTCCTGACTTCCTCTTACTCTCTATGATTTATCTCTATGTTCATGTCCTATCAACTGGTTGCTTGCTCTGCCTCTTGACCCATGGGTGACTTTATTTAATCCTGTTTTGTATTAAAGGTTTGTGCTAGGGCCAAGCCACACCACAACCAGAACAGGTTTTTCCAGTAAACAATACAACCTCAGGGTTCACAATGTGATCAACTATCCTGCAACAGCTATGTATGAAGACAAGAGGTGACTGGGAATACTGTGCTTCTATAAAGAATAGTTTTGTATGTAGAGTGTTTTCCAGTAGACAGCAAGAGGGGGAAAAAGAGAGAGAAAATTTTTCTTGATGAGATTTACAGACAAAATAAGCAAGATAGAGAAATGCAATTCCACAGGTATAAATTTATCACACTATACCTCATAAATACAATTACTACATGTTAATAAAAGAAATGAAAAGGCAATCCTAACTCACACTGAGTCCTTGGAGAATATTGCACCTTTCTAGTAGGGAGGTGGCAAGGATGTGCCTATGGCTAAGAAATAACCCAGCAATCACAGAGAACCTTCTGGTCATTGCCTTTGGAGGTGCAACCTTCTTTTAGCACCTGTTAGCTAGAGATAGTGATTTTTATATCAGGCTTATTAGGATGCATATAACATTCTTTGAAGAGTGCTTGACTCACAATCTCAAGAATTTTGCTCTTATTCACAGGGTATATTTTTTGCTTAGTAGAATATCCTAAATACTTCCTAAGAAATTACAGACTTGTTTTCTTTACTGAAGAATCCATGTAGTGAGACCTTTATTGGGTTATCTGGAAGAAATACAGTGCCTAGTATTTTAACCTTCCTAATGCTATGACCCTTTATACAGTTTCTCATGTGGTGACCCCAACCATAAAATTATTTTTGTCACTATTTCATGACTATGATTTTTCTTTTTCTTTTTTTAAAGCTCTTTCATTTTTTATTTTTAATTTAAATTTATTTTTTGTTTATTCACTTTGTGTCCCAATTGTAGTCCACTCCCTTGTCTCCTCCCTCTCCCACTATCCCTCCCACTCCCCCCATTCCCCTCCCCTATTTCTCAGAAAGGGGGAGCCCTTCTCCCTTACCATCTAACCCCAGCCCATCAAGTCTCAGCAGGACTGTCTGCATCATCTTCCTCTGTCGCCTGGCAGTGGGCCTCCCTGGGGGAAGTGATCAAAGAGCGGGCAACAGAGTCCATGTTAGAGACAGCCCCTGCTCCCCTTACTAGGGTATCCTCCTGGGGACTGAGCTGCCTATCGGCTACATTTGAGCAGGGTCTCTAGGTCCTCTTCATGTACTCTCCTTGGTTGATGCATTAATGACTAATTTTCCTACTATAATGAATCGTAATGTAAATATATAATTTGTGACCCCGTGAAGGGGTTGGTCGATCCCTGAAGGTTGAGAACTGCTGGCCTAGAGGCTTACTGAGCACATGTTGTGCAGCAGTTTCTTCCCAGACAAAACAGTCCATCTTAACAGAAGTTCAGGACACAGGCTATTCTAAAGAGAAGTATAACATTCCATCTTTCTAGGAAGATCTTAAACCCACTGAGTAAATAACTCAAAGGATTCTGGAAATTGCTGAAACTAACCAGATTCACTTCCTCCCCATATAATCAGTAAAGCTGGCTGAGAAATGGGTCAGACAGGTTTAGTTGGCTCAAAGAGACACAGATTACCTGAACTAGCTAAAAGAGACAGTCTTCAACCTGTTGAGCTGTCTGCAAGTTGTGCAGTGTGGTTCAGGTTTTCTGCTGTCTATGGGCCGTCACCACTGGGGTGGGCTTTTGTTCTTGTAGCTAGTTTTGAGTCATTTCTGATCCTGTAAATAACCCCTCACCCATTCTCCTGTAAACATAACTTCAATAAACCCCCTGGTTCACTAAGTTGGACTGTGTGGCGGAGCCTTACTTCGGCCTCTGGGGTGAGCAGGTGTTTGTTCACATCTCCACAGCCATAATGTTATACAACAAGGTACAGTATTAGTTTTCCGGAGAGACAGAGCTCCTGTGATGATACAAGTGCGCAGAAGCTTGGGCTGGGGAACAGCAAAGTTCGTTGGTAGAGTGTTAGGTAGACTAGACCAAGTTAAAAAGAGGCTGAGAAAGGAAAAAGGACTCCTAAGATACATCTATCAAGCTTCGGAAAAGCAGCGCTCCTTCAAACACAGAAAGCTGAGAGCCCACAGCACTAGCTCTGTTTGTTTCTGGTGGGTTCACTGTATTCCAGTGGGCTTTGAATTCCCACCTCAGCAAAGTCAGCCTGGTGGAGCCTTCTTAGACTCCACCCTTCCCAACTGTCTTGTCCCTCATAGCTGCCCTGGCTTCCTCAGCATAGCATCTCTCCTCAGCTGCTCTCCCACCCCAAGTCTTTTTCATTTCTTTAGCCTCCACTTCTCTTCAAGCCATCCGTTGTCCTCAGCCTTCATCCCTCTTCAGCGCAGTTCCCCCTCCTCAGACCTCAGCCCGCCTTAGTCTCCCATCATTCCTCAGCTAGTTCTGGGTTCCTCTGCCTTCATCCCTGTCAGCTGTCCGCGCTGGGAGGCGCAGTAGGGTTTTGGATTTGCTCCTCCCCATGCCTACGTCCCCGCATCCTGAGTGGCCCGGGCGGGAGAGGGCCAGCTAGAGTCCGCATCCCTGTGTACTGGCTGCCGCAGGGCCGGGCGAGCAGGTGGAGCTCACCCTCCCGCGGAGCACTGGGCGGTGGACCGCAGTGACGCGGCCGGAGACATGGCGGCCACGCGCCTCTGAGGCCGCAGAGCCGGAGCCTCTGGCTGCGGGAGCTGCGCTACCATGCAGCTTCGTTGCTGAATGCCGGGGCGCGTGGCCCCGCGGATCCTGGCTGCGGTCATCACCCTGCAGTCTCCATGCTGTATTCCTCCCCACTGCTTCCGGCCGTGTAGCAGCCGGGCCTCAGGGCACTCCGCCTATTCGTCAGGCACTTTTCCTTTTCGTTTTTACCTCCATCCCTATTTGCTTTTCCCCCTCTGCTTTGCATCTATCTCTGCCACCCCGCTATGGCCGCAGAAGAGGTGCTGCAGACCGTAGACCACTATAAGACTGAAATAGAGAGACTGACCAAGGAGCTCACAGAAACGACCCACGAGAAGATCCAGGCTGCCGAGTACGGGCTGGTGGTGCTGGAGGAGAAACTGACTCTCAAGCAACAGTATGATGATCTGGAGGCCGAGTATGACAGCCTCAAACAAGAGCTGGAGCAGCTCAAAGAGGTGAGCTGCCTGTCTCCTATCCCCTCTCCCGGTCTGGCATTTCTTAGCACCAGTCACACTGTAGAGAAGTCAGAAGGGGTATGGCCAGAAGGAATTCATCTTAGAGCCCTTTGTTGATAAGAGAATATTGAAAGACTCCATTGTTTTCACCAATAGAAAAATTGCCCAAGAAATGAAAGCATAAGCTGGAACGTGAAGCTCTTTATCCTGTGGGGGAGGGAAAGTCATAAGAGTCTTCAGGTAGCAGTGCTGGCAGGTGACATTGAACTGGGCTGAAATGTATAAATCAAACTTCTCAACCTGCTGTTATTTCAAACCCATGTATCAATGACCATTGCATAATCCATCCATTTGATAACGAGGTTTGTGCCTGAGGACCTACAATTTCAGGATGGTAGAATTTGGTACCTCAGCTGTCTGCTGAGTAATTGCTCTTTGGTGAAATAGGGAGCTCACCAGTCCCGTTTGACTCGGCTTTAGATCTTGTCATAAGGCTGCAGGAGCAAAACAACTTTGATGGGTGGTTTTGCTGCCCTTAATTTCACCTCTGAGAAGGCTGGGCTATGTTTATATCTTTGAGACTGAGGCAAATTAAACTCGCCTCTATGTGGCGAAGGGCATATGTAAAATATCTGGATATCCGTGCCTTCTCTGGCAAACATGCCTGCCAACTTGAAATGACTGTATTTTATAAAACCGGAATATGACCAATTTCTGTGAATAGCATCTTCCTATTTTTGTGTTTTCTTTCCTTTGAAGACTCATGTACTGAAAGAAAATAGTGAATGTGTATTTATGTCCAGGCAAACATCCATAGGCATCATACTATTTAAGGCACTGGGAGTAGCAAGGAATCAAGTATACATGTTAGTGTACATACACTGCTCTTCTATGTGACGCCTTTATCTTTAGGTGCATACAAACATTTGAAGTTTTAGGCACATCACACATACATAAATAGAAATATTTTTCTTATAATCTAAGTTTATTTTAGGGAAAGGAAAGGCTCTGTCTTGTGTTGTTACAATTAAAAAACATGAGTTATGACATTCTAATCAGCCTTTCTTCTAATTCATAATACAGATTTACGCCTTTAATTTTGCTACTTTTATTCAGATGCTTAAATACCAAAAATGTATGTGAATAGATAAGGTTGAAAACCATAGATAGAAGTATAATTTTTGCATAACTGGCTATAAATTTTAGTTCATGCTTTTCTTGCCATATTCACATTTGGTTTTAATGGCATCTGGATTTACTTATATTTTCTAAATTATTTTTTTTTCCTTAGGCTGACATGTCTAAATGTAGTGGCGCTAAACCGGGTGAAGTAAGGAAACAGATGATTGTTGTAATTCTCAGAGATATTTTTATGATGTCTTTATTTATCGACTGTGCTTTGCCAAGGTGGAGAAATGCAAACCAATGTTAAGTCATCACTTTCTTGATAAAAAAAAAAGGTAGACTTGTTTGATTTTATAAAATACGACTGTTAATAGACTCTCCTTCTTGGGTTAAACACTTTTAGGGATATTTCTGTGTTGTTGTACTTGCTCACCACCGTAAACCTTAATACAGCAGTCTTTTGTCATTAGTAGACAATGAATTCTTAATGTCTTTTATTTGTTTGAAGTTGATAGATAAAATTGTATGTATTTATTATGTATAGTGTTATGTTTTGCAGTATATATATGGTATGTCTTAATTGATCTAATATATTTCTTCACATAATTATCTTTTTTTGGTGATAACCCAACATTCATTCTGTATTTTTAAAGAGTTAATATATTGGCATTATAGTCATCATACTGCATGGTGAATTTCCTAAACTTAATTCTTCTTATCTAACTGTAATAATGAATCTTTTCATCAATATCTTTCTCTTTTAAGCAATCAACATTTCTAATAACTACTATTTACTTCTCTGATCCTTATATGAATACAATAATGAAATATTTGTTTTTCTGTGCCTGGCTTATTTCATTTAATATAATATAAAGTCTTTAACACAGAGCTTAGCTCATAGCAGGTATAAAAATAAACATTTTATAAAAGTTAATTTGTACTAGAAGTTAAATCTTTATCAAGTGTTCAGGAGTGTCAGAGAAAGATGAGAAAATTGGAGAGTATAGGAAGTGACCACTCATATTAGTCTCATTGACAGTAAAGATAAAATGGAGAAATGTTTATAAGAATGATGAAAGAAGTTTCTTAACACAGAATAACACTAATACCAATTGTATTTTAAAAATTAAAAAATTAAGCATTTTGTTCTATATAGCAAGAAAAATTATTAGGATTTTTTCTTTTTATCAAATGACACTTGTTATATGTATTTTGATTTACATTTAGCATAAAGAAAACTCAAATTAAGATTCTTAGTAAACAGGATTATAACTATACAAAAGTATATTTTAAGGTAGTAAAATAATTGTTATTATTTGATGATACTTGTTTCTGTCTTTTAAACATGTTTTATTTTAGTTGAGATTATTACTTAAATGAACTGAGTCATTCTCAAATACAAAATAGTTGTGCAAAACAGGTATTCTAATGATGATGTCATATAGAAGCCATTTAGTATGTGTGTGTGTGTGTGTGTGTGTGTGTGTGTGTGTGTAGGTCAGAGGACATTCAAATATTATTCCTTAGTCAACTTGTTTTTTGAGATAGAATCTCTCACTGGTCTGAACCCCGCCAAGTATGTCAGGTTGGAGTGAAACCTAGGTACCCACCTGTACCCACCTCCCCGTGCTGAGGTCACAGGTGTGCACCACCATGCCATGCTTCTTAAAACATCAAACTTACGTCCTAATGCTTGTACAGTAGATATTTTACCAGCTACTTCCCAGCCTTGGAAGTCATTGCTTTGAAACATTCTGGCGGGAAGGGCAAGATGGCTCAAAGGGTTAGGGTTTTTGTTGCCAAGCTTGATAAACCTGAGTTCTATTACTCTCCCCTCACTCTATTTCTACATAGTGGAGAAAAAGCCCACGCTTGCAAGTTGTCTACACACACACACACACACACACACACACACACACACACACACATGCACACACATGGTACAATCAAAGTTTTCACAGCAACAGAAAGTAAAGTAGGCTAGCAACATAGTAAGTTTTCTTTTATGTGTTGTCTCTCTATCATTGCTCCTCTGGTAAATATTCTTTTGTACTTACTTTAAAATGTCTTTGGACATATGAATCTATCTGTAGGATTTTGGTTTTATTTTTGTTTTTATAAAATCAAGTGTGAAGAATATGGTACTAATTAGGAAAAATGGATATGGTGGCTCTAGTTCTGTTCCTGCAGTTTGGAAGATAGTGAGAGAGGAAAAAATTGTAGTTGTGTATGGAAGAGACAGAGGAGGTTTGTTTTGATGACCCCATAGCAGCCTTGTGTGTTGATATCAAGGGAAAAGATGGATGGTTTTATAGGTGTATTGTTGGTGATTATTTTGCTTCCTTGTCTCATTGACTGGTGAATATGTGATCAGCATAATGCCTGGCTAGTTTCCACGGCTAGAGGAGCCAGTCCTGCAGTGCGACCACATCCTGTCCACTCTAGATCTTGGTGTGAAGCCAGGATGATTCAGGCAGTTGGACAATAGTGCATTACCTCTTATTTCTTCTTTGACTTGAGTTTTGAGGTAGACAGCTAGAATCTTACAAGCACTTCAAGTCTTGTGCAGCATCTCATAGGAGAGGGAGAAGAGAGTAGAAAACATGAATATATTAGCAAGTATCTTAATCATGGAGGGGAAAGAAAAAACTGACTATTGGGACTTTTTCTCCTGGGATTTAATTACTTTGTCTATAAAATCCAGTGATTTAAAAATCTCAAAATATTTGTTGTGTAATGTATCTAACTCATTGTGCTTTAGAGCCACCCAGTTTGCTTATTTATCTACCTATCCTTTCCTTTTCAAATTCCTTCTACTTGTTCCTAAATATAAAATAAACTTTCTTTGTTGAATTAACTCTCACCCAGCCTTCATGAATTTGCCCTCAACTGTTTTCTGTATTTTCTTCCTGTTCATTTCAGTTCTGTTCATTCAGTTCTAGCCATAGTAGTTCACATTTGATCACATGTACCCTTTCTTTCATCATTTTTTCCTAAAGTAATTAACAATTCTCATATGAACACCTGGCCCATACACATTTTCCTTTGAACTCATTACTTTTCTAATCTTCCCTATTTTATTCTAGAACTGATTCATGGAGTTTATTATTGAAATACTTGTATCTGGCTAAATAGAAGGTGGGTAGGGAGAGAGAGAATGAATATGGATATGAATATGAAGTGAGATTATACTCCAGAATCACTATAAAAAACTTTTGACTTACTCTTTAGATTATTTTTTTTAAGTTGACAAAGATCCTTAATGTTGGAGGGTTAGAATTTCACTTTTTTATTTCTGTGTGTGAGTGTTTGCCTGGATGAACCCATGTGTATGCCTAGTGCCCTGGGAAATCAGAAGTGAAAGATGCTATCAGATCCCCTGGAACTGGTGGCTGTGGGCCACCAAGTGGATGCTGGGAATTGAACTTGGGTCCTCTGCAAGAGCAACAAGTGCTCTTACTCACTAAGCCCCAAAATTAGGTGGTTTAGTGATCTAGTGATCAGAACTATAAGAGTGTAATTTTTCTTAAAATTTAAAAATAACAGAACGAAAAAATTTTCTTAAGTGGATCTTCAGGTATTCTACATTAATCACTATAGTTATTTATGATCTTAGTTTTATAATCAAGATGTTTTCCTTGCAACAAAAGAAAATAATTTATCTTTACAAATTACATTAAAGTGTTTTCAATAATATACGCAACTTATAAAAGAAAGCATTTAGTTGGGGACTTATTTATAGTTTCAGAATGTTAGTCTATGATCATCTATGGTGGGGAGCATGGTGGGTGGCAGGAGGGCAGGCACCCACTTGAGCAGTTAACTAAGAGCTTACATGCTAATCCACAGGCAGTAAGGAGGAAGGAAGGAAGAAA